GACTGAATGATTGGAGTGCTGTATATATCACCAGAGAGAAGTCTGACAACCAGAAGATCAAGTTATCAAATTTTCATAAAAAAATTACAAGCTTGTGATAGATTGTTTTAAATGAATCACAAATAACATTACTTTTCCTTGCAGGAATAACATTTATATGCTTTTGAAACCTAAATGTTTCCAAACACTTTGGTCAAAGTCAGTCCATGTGTGTCTGAATCATCTCTGAATATAACAAAAGGGGAAATTAAGCTACAAAGATATCGAAGTTTATATACTGTAAACTCATGATTTTGAGTAATCAAATTCAGAGTTTGTTTCTGCCTAGTAATGAAAGGGTTTGTTGGATTATACATAAAACCAATCATATTGTAGGAAAATTATGTAATGTATCATGTCACCTTTACCATGCTCTTATTCAATACAAGTAAAAACTGTTGTATTCTTTTTGCTAGTGGGATTCTCTCTGAAATTGGTCTGAAATCCTCTGGCCAGGATTAAAACATAAGGAAAATTCTGGAGTCTGTCTGGTCTGTCGTAGGGGTCAAGAAGACGTTGACTGACTCAGGACAAATATCATTGAACGTCGATCGGAGACATTTAGGGGCTTCAATTAGGAGAGTACCCAGGTTAAACTTAAGTTAAAAATCTGCCACATTTACAAAAAAGAATCATGAATGGATAAATCGTTCACAACAAGGTCGATTAAATGCATTTAGAAAATTGATTTCCATTTCATACACACATTAAAACTTCTCACTTGGGAAGGATGAGCAGGCCAAGTAGAGGCAGACAGAATTTCTTTTTTTTCTATGGGTGAATTATGCTACAGGCCTTAACCATTGGAATCTCATCACATGTCCTGACATGTATACGATTATGAAATTGCCAATCACTTCTTCTATGAAGCAATAAAAACGACTTGCAGTCAGAGCACGCTACATTAGTACTGCAGTGGCATCATAAAGCGATTTAAATTACTAGCCATTGCCAGTCCATTTTAGAGGCTGACCGAAATAATCGAGTAATTATAGTTTGAGTTGGGTGGGAGTGGAAGCAGTACAGTCTGGGGAAACTGACTCACTACGACAGATCAGCCCAGGCTGTCTCAGCGTTCATTCTCTCTCACACAACAGAATTTCAGACCTGGGGCCCCAGAAGTCTTGCTAGAAGCATCTTCAAAGTAGCCTGGTTAAAACCAGACCATTCTCAGTTGTAAGTTAACTGAGTTATGGTCTGGCAAAGCGTCATAGACAAATCATTTTCAGAGGGGCGTCGCCAACGGACATCGCGGATAGACCTAAAACCAATCAGCGCGATGAAGGAGATGACATATGCAGAGCGGCGGAGAAACATCTCCGAGTGTTGTTTGCTCGTTTTTAAAAAAAAGGAAACGTTCAAAACGCTTAAAACAGACGCGATAGCTGATTCGAACCAGTGATGTTCGACGACGTCATCCATCTTTGTAATGTAGGCTACAAAATCTGCTTCAAAATCCCCTCGCAGTCGTCATTGTGCAAAGCCCGCCCCAACTTTTCTCATTGGTGCCTTGATTTCAACGGATTGGAAATGGGATTGAATGAGCTCTTTGCCTAACTAACTTTCTAAGTAACTAAAACTAACTTTCAGAGCAAATCTAAATTTGGGTTTTCCCAGGCTATCTTAAAAGCCAAACATAGTTCTCTAATATTTCTTCTCATTTAAATACTTTGTGATTACAAGCTTCTGCGATTGTGCACATTGAAAAAAAAAAAAAAAACATGTTCCATGAGACATATGGATACAATATAACACAGACACAGCCCATGGTACAAATTCTGATGCCAACATGCGCTGCATCTACTAACAAAACACACACTGTTCATGTGAAAGCAAGTCACATTCGCTGACAGCTGTGCCACAAAAGCAGAAAATTCAGTCGTTAGAAAGAGGTACTAATTCAGACATATGAGGATGTTAAACGTGCTTACCTCAACAGAATAAAGGTAAAGCACTATCAGCTGCATCTGAGCTTAAATGAGAAGCATTTTAAAATTGCAACAAAAAGAGCTCAAAAAGACATCTAAATTGAGGAGAGAAGGAAAAAAACACAGAGGAGATAGTGTTTCGGAGGCAGGAAGACAATCTCAGCCAACCATTAAAAAAATGTTGCCATTGATTAGCTTGTTTACATTTTATTGAGCCTTGTCTCATAATGTGTTGTACCATCCATTACAAAGCACATCAGAAAATGAGAAGCCTTCCACTGTCTTTAAATTGAGCACTTTAAGGAAACATCTAGAAGAACATGCAGTCCATTAGATTGGCAGTCAATTAGCTGGCAAAAGTCAGGGACCCATGCTTTTACTAACTTGACCTTACAATACGAAACTGGGAAGTCGCAGAATTACTTGAAGTCCTTCTAATGTGCAGTACAACAGAGCAGGAAAGATATGAGTTGTATGGATTAACATGGATTTTAAAAAGACTTGGGTCCAGTTAAAAGTAATCTGATTTCAGCTATTGGATTTTTAAAATCTCGAAAATGGGTTGATAATTTGAAAAAAAAAAAAAAAGATTCTGAAAATCAGATTAATCACAATCTAATTTAGGTTTTGGTCTGGATCAAACCCTTCAGTATGTGTTGTTTAAAAATTTTAGTAGGATTGGGATAACTTTGGTCCAAAACTTCATGATTATCCTGATCCCACCAAAAGGGGTGGATTCATGGTGGATTTCAGGAACAAAGTGTAATTAATCTTTAAAATTGGTAAAATAATACAATGAATCATGTAGTATAAATATGTATCTATATTTTGCACTTAATTTTTGTTTAACCCTCAGGTGCTCTTCAGTCATTTCTGACCGAAAAATCTTCTGTTTTGAATCACAGCTTCATCGGAATGTTACGAAATTACATTCCGCATTATGTATGTGAACACACAAAGGTCATGATCTGAGCTTGCTAAGTGGTCATAAAAAAAATAGTCACACTTGTGGTCTTTTGTCAAAAATGACCCCCATAGGAAATGAATGGGAAATTGACAAAAACACAAAAATTCAAATTTGTATTTATTTATTTTTTACATTTTTTAATAAAAAATCGTTTTTGAGATTGTTTCAACTATATATTCAAATCCACCAAAAGTGTTCATAAACATCTGGGGAATTCACATGCTTCTCCATAGAGCTGTAATGCTATCTAGGGGTTACACCATGATTCTACGCTTTTTCTCTATACTGTAAGCAGATGGTGCTAATTTTCTTCAAAAAATATTTTTTTCTGAAGGCCTAGACTCTATATTAAACTAAAATACTGCATTAATAATTTTTTGGAAAAAAAAATAATATATATATAGAAAAATATTTATATTTTTCCATGGCAAAAATAGACCATAAATATTGCATAAATATTCATAAATTCAATCAAATTGTCTCAAAATACTAAATTACAAAAAAAAAATATTATAGAACAAAAATAAATTGCATTGGTTTTACTTGGATGGAGGAAATTTAAATTTTAGGTGTCCGGTCATTTTTGACCGGGAAGATAACAAGTGTGACTCCGAAACTAAGAGCACCTGGGGGTTAACCATAGAGTGATGAAGTAGTATACATTAGGCTCCCTATTACGTCTTTCAATACAGATCAAAAATATTTTAAGCAGTTTTAACCCGTATATTATTTACAATTACACAATCAGAAATGAACCATACGGCATCTTTTATTGCATGTATATTTGTTTGTATATTTGTGTTGAAACAATAATCTTTCAATGGTTTTGCGTTGGGCTGTGCTCGTAATGTCACCTCATTCTGTAAATGAAAGTCCCACCAGAGGGTGTGAGAATATGTCATTATCAATGTGCCCCACACACCACCCTGCAAGTACCAAAATTAGCATCACACAGTAGTTCCACTATCTAAACAACATGTAAAACACAAACTGGTCGCCAAGTAACAGGAAATGGATTCAATTAGTGAACTGGTATTTCACTTGACTTTTATCAACATAGTTGACATGCAGGTTAACTATGAGGAAAGTAAGTGGAAAGGGCACCCTTAAGTTTACTGTCCACATTATGCTCTTTACATTCTGCGTACTTGCTCAAGAGTCAAGACACTGTGAATATTTTGACCTTTAGTTCAATTAGCCTAACTGTCATTGAAAAACATCACAGCAGATCTTCACCATGAACAGTATTGATTGAGTCACAACATGCTGCTGTCATATTAGTAGGCAAGGCTAAAAAATAACTGAATGAGATTAAATATACACAATTAAAGATAAACTAAACCTGAACGAACTAATCTAACATACTACAGGATTGTTGATTTCATTTAACTGTCATAACACATAGTTTTCTATAATGTCAACCACATCTGACCGAGAAATACTGACCTTTAACTGAATTCAGTGGTTTGCAAATTTAGCTCAAGCTAGTTAAAAAGTTGAAACTCCACAAGAAATGACTATGTTCATTTGGTTCAAGAATGAACCAAATGAACATAGTCATTTCTTGTCATAAGACACTATTAACTAATGTATCCCATAACTACGTCAATTCAAAACAAATGTGCCATAAAGCTCTGACGCAGAAATACAATGTAAAAAAGTAAAATGATCCCATTTAAATGGAAAATAAAGTGCCAATGTTTTGAGGAGAAGTTAAAAGCCTTGGTTACTTCCTTAAATACAATGGACAGCAACAATAGAACACACAGTGCAAACGTTTCGTTTGGTTTGTTTTCAAATAAAGAGCATTATTCATTATACTCCAATATCCGCCCGCTCTCTCCGGGAGTCCTGCGGGGAGCCATGTGAGAGGAATACTAACTAAAACTTTCTCTAAACCGCTACTGAGCACCTACTTTCTCAGCCTGACAACTTGAATGGAAGATTTCCTGGCAAGTCTCTAAAGTGAAAAGTTGAAGCAACAAGGAGAACAGGCTCTCCAGGCACCTTTGAACCCAAATGTCACATTAGCCCGGGAGCCTCCTGTACGGTTAATGGAGACTTACCGGAGCGTTGGTCCAATGCAGTTGGTGTCTGTGCTTTCAATCTCACGCAGGATTCGCTCGTGCTCTGCCGCTGTCTCCGCGCTCGCCATCTTCCATATCCTCGCGACGCGCTCGAGAAAAAAACACACACACAGCGCCCAGCGCGAGAGGGGGGAAAATACTGGAGCTTTTACTTCCGGTATTACTGTTCAACTGTTAATTAATTTCAAAACAAGTTTTTATATTAAACAAACAAACAAAAAACACGTAATAAATTAATGAAGGCATATGGAGGAGACATTTCATTAAAAAAAAAAATGTTTTTTTATTATACATTAATTAAGTTTTTAACTTGTCACAGTAAAGAAAAATAAAGCCAGAAATTTAATTTTAAACGTTTTATATTAATAAGTGAATATATTATACTATATGAGAATGTTGATGCTACTTATTACAACTCTGTAGCACTGTAAAAGTTTACCACCAACTAAACTGTATTGCAAGACAGCGACATCTAATGCTTCTTCGTGTACAAATCAAACCAGCATTCACCGATCAGTGCCAGCATTGTTAATGGATATTAATAGTTTTTAAGCATGACATGGTATGGTAATAATTCGGGCATAAAAATTATAAAGATTAAAATATAAAGATTAAAAATAATATACTTATTGCAATTGCATCATTATCACAGCCTCTATCGTAAAAGCATATATTTTTTTATCATAAGGCTTTCATATAAATCAAATATTTTCGGTCAGTGTCTCTGTATGTGGCTGTCATTAATTTATGAGCGATGTCTGGACAAACTAAACAAATAAATAAATAAAATAAAATAAACTCGGCACTATCGGGTAATGCAAAAAAAACATGGGTAATCAGTAGACCCCGGGCCGTATATTCTCCATTTTTATTATTAGACTAATTCTTCACATCATGTAAGGAGGGTACATGATTTTAAAACATGATTCCGATTTATTTCTCTATAGCTAAAACTTTGTCATTAAAACAACAGCAATACCTGTGCTTATTTTTGTGTATGTTTATTTTTATGTTATTTCTTTTTTTTTTTTTTTTATTTGCTTAATTATTGTTTACGTCGTTTCAAATTCAGTCTCCTGCACTATGTTGATTCTGAAGTGAAATCCTGTTGCGCTTCTTTTCCGCACAGCACGGGTGTGTGAGTGTCGGGAGAAGTAAGGAGTCCAAACAGAGTCAGTCCAAAACACCAGAGACCCAACAGGCCAGATCACCCGGAAGTCTGCACCTCAGACACCAGAAATCGGTAAGAAACTCGATATTTGAAATATTAATAATTAAATAATACAAGAAGAGATGGTGAAACTACTACGAAGCAGAACGGAAACTTTTAAAAAGTTAGTCGTTGGACTGTATAACCTCATTGTAATGGTTTTGGGTGGCACTGACTCTCAAAGTTGTAAACATAAGTTTCCCGTTTTATATTTAAACGAGTGAAATTAAAATCTCACCTAAAAAATAAAATTAGGGTTGCGATGGTAAGAAAATCGACAAACATGATAACTAGTTGGTTGTTTACGAAGCGTTTTAAAGCGTCGTCTCAGGAATACTGGGGTTTATTGTTATGTTTATTGTAGTTCAGGTCGGTATACGATATAAAGTATGATAGTTCTCTGAAGTCAGCTCTGAGAAATGTGTCTGTGTCAGTTTACAGTATAAATGATCGCGGCGGGAAAGCCCGTCTGAGTTTAGACCATAACACTGTTTGGTGTTGGTGTCTCAAGACTGAGGTGTTGCTTGTATTATTCATGAGGAATTGCACTGTTTGCCTCATCTTCAGCAGTTTGCTTAAGAGGTTATGGCTGATCCCTCGTCTGATTTTATTTGATCTGTTTGAGGATAAGCTAATAATAATGTGGAATAGCACATATGTGGAATAGCTCATAATGTGGAATAGCACATATTGTGCAGTTATGACAAAAAAAAAGTTAGTACAATATCCATTGACTCCATTTACTTAAACAGAAAAATAGACGTGCATAAATAAAAATCAACTTTTTTTGTCTTTAACAGTGTTCAATCATGGCACAAATGTTCACTATTTCTGACGAGTCAGAGACAACAGAGGACCTTGAGGACTCTGGCCAGACAGAACATAACAGTGGATCGTCAGAGAGAAAGCAGCACCTAACTGCGTCTGATAGGCTCAAAGGTGAGTCAGTCTCAAGGGCCTGTGGGATAGTTATAACACACACACACGTCATTCTGCTGTATCCTGGAAACACATCACTGCACGTTTGCAAGACAAGTGAATCTCAAAACATTTTATTTCTCTGAATAATCTCTGTGTTAGCATTGGTTTTAGCTTTAAAAGATTATTTATTTTACATGAAGAAATGTTTTAATTGAATTCCGATGTGAGGTCTGATCTGATGAGGCAAGGGTCATTTAATATCAGATATCATTGCAGGAGAGCAACTGGGAAGACATAGGAATCTCTCGATGAATGAGGAGGATCTGATGGAGACCGGGGCAGCAGATGAAGGCGATTTCAGGCCTAGATCTCGCTCGGCTCCTCCTGCTTTGTGGGCAGCTAAGAAATATGGCCAACAGTTAAGGAGAATGAGTGATGAGTTTGACATCCTCCTTGATAAAGGGGTAAGAAAACAATTATTTCGCTATTAAAGAGTTAGTTCACCCAAAAATGACAATTCTGTCAGTAATTACTCACCCCCATGTTGTTCCAACCCCACAAGACTTTCGTTCATCTTTGGAACACAAATTAAGATAGTTTTGATGAAACTGACTCCTCCATAAGCTACAAGGTAATTGCATCTGCCGGCCCAGAAAAGTTAGTGAAGACATTGTTAAAATAGTCCAAGTGACTACAGTGGCTCAACCTTAAGTTTATCAAGCAATGAGAATACTTTTTGTGCAAAAAAAAAAAAAAAAAAAAAACTTTATTCTAGCATTAATTTTCTTCCATGTGGGCCTCCGACAGTTCACGAGAGCGCCACAACGCATGCGCGAGAACTGAGAAAATGACGTTCACGATCATTTGATGGGAAAGAGTGAAAGATAAGCCATTCATTTTGCACCATTGGTAAGGCACTTGTACATTTTCTCATGATTCGGACGTCCATCTGCATCATCTTTTCAGTTCTCACACATGCGTCGTGGCTCGTGAACTTGCGTCAGAGGCCCACACAGAACAAAAAGAATAGTTGAATAAAGTTGTTATTTTTGTGGGGGTTTTCACTTAAACTTAAGGTTGAGCCACTGTAGTCACTTGGGCTATTTTAACAAACTTTTCTGGGCTGGCAGATGCAATAACCTTGCAGCCTATGAAGGAGTGAGATGGCTCTCAGATTTAATCAAAAACATGTTAAGTTGTGTTCTGAAAATGAACTAATGTCTTGTGGGGTTGGAACAACATGAGGGTGACAGAATCTTCAGTTTTTGGTGAACTAATCCTTTAAGAATAGTGAACATGCAAGGTAAACTAAAAGTATTTTTAACCTACTTATTTTACCATAAAATAGATCAAAATGTTTTTCTTATCTCTTAAATCTCTTACAGATGAAGAGGGTGAAGAGTGCAGGAACAGCACGCCAGATGCGGCAATCACCCAGCTGGTTGGCCTTCCTTTGGAGTCACAAAGAGTCTGATGCTGAGTCGCGCCCTGCTGAGTGATTGACAGTGAATGAATGATGGAGAAAGAGAGAAAAGAACTACTGTACATAACAATTGTTGGTTGAAGAAAAGGTTGCACTGCTTTGAAGGAACAATTCTATTGACTGGTTTAATACCTTTTTAAATGAATTGCACTGGGACCCTTGACTGTTGAAAAGCAAGAACTGTATCTCACTGGCATGTGCTATACCACAAAGAAAACAAAAATGGAGAATGAATCTCCTTTGACTTTTCCTAAGCTCTTGGAATATTATGCAGTAAATTGTGAATGTGAACCGGATATCAACTTGTTCAAAACAGACTTTCTGTCGCTCTGCCATATCGGCTTTTAGGTTCAGATGAAATACTTTAAGAAAAGCACATCAAAAAAAGACAAATATATTTTATACTACATCAATTGTTAAAGAATTTATTAACCATTTTTTCTGTACATTTTTTTATCTGTAAAAAGACTTTGGATACTTATAGGAGCCCTTGAGTTTTATTACCATCTCCGAGTCATAAAATCTCTTGGAATCATCTGCAATCAACAATACCAATAAGCACAAGAGCCCAAAAAACAAGACTGGGTCTGATTACTCATGAAAGCAAGAACAGAGGAGACCATCATAACTGGAATTACTTGAAAATAAAAACAGATTTTCAATGCCTTGTAACTTTTTTAATTCGTTTTAAAAAAAAATATTGTGATGTTATTTTGTTGTTTGTAACAAGAATAACCTAATAAAAAAACTCTAATGAACCACTTTAAGCAAAGGTTCCTCTTACTTGGCAGCACTAGTGTAAAACGTAAGCACTGTTCTTCATGGTAATACTGTATTTGGCGCTATATATATCAAAATGTCTTTGTTTCCAAATCTGGTTTAATAAACTGTTTGCATCAAAACATCTCTTTTGCAATTACATTTTAAATTTGTAAAAAATAAATATTAAATAAAAAATGCAGCATGCAAAAACTAAGCATGAAAAAGAGACGTGTATTGTGGGAAGTAAATAATACATATGAACAGCCTTGGAATTTCACGAGTCATTGAAAATCCATTGGGATGTTGTCTTTAAGACACTTGTGTTGGATCCCAGCAGAACTTCTCCCCACAATCAAGAGCAGAGAGCCTTTCCATATCCTTCTCGCTAATCTCAAAGTCAAACAGACGCCCATTCTCCTCCACACGGTCTGGCTGACATGATTTTGGCAGTACTGGAATGTTCTGTTGTACAGCCCACCTCAGCAACACTTGTGCTGGTGTCCTCCCATACTCTTTAGCTAAATCCAGAACCACGTGGTCTGATAACAGAAGCCCTGTTCCAAGAGATGAGTATGCTTGAAAACACACCCCTCTTTCCTTACAAAGTGTCCTAAGGTCCTTTTGGACCAGCTTTGGGTGGAACTCTACCTGAAGAACCGCTGGGGGCACTTTACAGCTCTTCAGCAGCTCCTGCATGTGTGCTACTGTGTAATTCGACACCCCAATGGCCCGAAATTTTCCTTCCAAGTAAAACTCCTCTAAAACTGTCCAGCTTTCATTACGGTTTTCGGGGTTTCGTTTATCCCCCACTTGCAGCCCCTGCGTACCTGGCCAATGAATAAGATATAGGTCAATGTAGCCCAATCCCAACTGATCCAGGCTCCTCAGGCAACCATCCCTAGCTTTGGTGCCCTGGTCTTTGGGACCCAGTTTACTAGTAATAAACACATCTTCTCGTGAGAGGCCATGCTTGGGCAGAAGGCAACGGAGGGCATGACCTACATGTGCCTCATTACGGTACACTGCAGCAGTGTCAAAGGCACGGTAACCAGCTGTCAAAGCAGCGTCCACAGCATTGTAAGTGTCCTCTTGCCCCTTCAAACGGAAAGTACCCAGTCCCAATAGAGGCATCCGAGTCCCAGTGTTGAGAAGCACAGATGGCTGAGGGTCAGTCATTATGAAAGGGGGAAGCCTTGCTTTGGAGACTATGAAAACTGTAGTGCATAAAGATGACGTAATTAAACACCCCTTAGATTACAAAAAGATTCTGTAATCTACATGTAAATTACAGTGAAGATAAAATTATAATAATACAGAGACCAAAAACTCACCCTGCAGGTTTTTTGAAAATGAAAAGACAAACACAGACGCCAGTGACTTCAACACGATCAAGGTCCAACGATCTGTTCCATGTAAATAACAAAGCTAATAACGTTACTGGTAGAATTTTTTTGCTAGAGTCTTATCTTTCTGTTAGAGTCTTATCTTCGTCAGGTGCTGTTTTACAACTTTGCTCAACCTAACATGATCATGTGACAATAAAGGGGCAGCTGATTCGCACCTCACTGGATGACGCTTTTGACCAATCAGAGTTTGTTGTCGTGACCTGGGGGCGGGACGCTGACAGCTCCACACCACACGCGCCCGCGCAACGTCATATTTGGCGCCGAATACTTGAGGCGTTACGGTAACTTATACTTTTGTCTCTGGGTGTTTATTAACCATACTATTTTCATTTAGAACATTTTAAAAAAGTTTGTAAACTGGCTTTATAAATTAAAGAAACACTTTTATTTGATCATTTGTCCTTGCTAGCTGGAGTTTTTTGGTAGGCCTACTCTGAATTTATGTATACTATGTATGAACATAAACCATAAACATATTGCTTTTATAAAATAGGCTATAACGTTATCATGGTTTTTGTATGTATTTTGTTTCTTCGTTGTTGTTGTTTTTTTCAGTGAAGATTCAGTTCATCCTCATTAGATGAAGTAACTATGTCAATCCAGGCCTTTTCCTTTCCTGTACCTGAAACCAGATTTTTTCAGGCTGGACATCAAGTCTTCAGATTCAAGATAAGACGAGGAGAAATGAGCAGGCAAGAATATGCAAGCTTATTTTATTTGTTTGATATAAAATATGCAGTATTATTTTGAATATATCTTTACACTTGCTATTCGGCAGAAAAATATAATTTTATCTAGAAAATATCTGACTTGGATATTCCCTTTCATAGCATTGATAAGGAGGACATGTTGGACGGGATGCTAGTCACTGAGGAGCTGGAGGTTTTATAATTTTTGATTCAAATAGGATTCATAAACTTTGGGAATTGGGAAGATTTCATTCCTGATGTGTTTTGCTTCACAGAATGCTGTGCGTGCAGTACTTGCAAACCTGGATAGTCTTCGCCCCTTCACAACCCAACATTTCAACATTTTTCCCTGTATGCTTTTTCTGAATATTACTTTAAAAGATAGATAGATAGATTCAGGGTCAGTTAAAGTAAAAGTAACGTGTAATTCATACAAATAATGGACCATTACTTCCCTTGACAACATACAACACTTACAGACAAAAGTAAATGGGAACAAGTGTCTAAAATGAGGTTCATGAAGAAGGGTGTAAAACTGTCTCCGTACCCCTTCGTTATCACACTGTATGTGGAAGATCGTGAACCAGCCTTTCAATGCGCAGGTGGGAGGTCTTTCAGTCTCAGCACGCTACCTGAAGTTTCCTGAACACTTTACAATGACAATATGCTCTGAATAAACTTTGTCTGCTCATGTTTACCAGTGACAAATACCAATTCCTGGAGCTCACCGGTGAGTGTCTCTAAATATGCATTTCTTTATGTAGTTATATTGAGCTGTTAAGCTTATTTTGTGGTTATTTCTTAATAGAGTATGTAAAAAAATCTTTATATTTCTTGTCTTGGTGATTGTTCATCTCCTTATAATTGTCACAAGCTGACAAATATAAATGTAAATGCCCTCAGGAGTCTACATCGAAAAGATCACAGTGGGCTAGTGAGCCAATGAGGACAGTCCAAACCACTGCAATGGGCCACCCAGAAGAGGGCACTATAAGCCAACACAAGCAGAGGAAACTAACCACAGAAAACTCTCAGTGCATTCAGTAAGTTTGTAGCTTTTTGTATGCTGTATGTATGTGGTGAAAAATCATTGTCAAGTCTTGCCCTTAACCTATGCAAATCCATCTTTCTCTCATAGTGTATTTAATTATTTTTATTACAACACTTACAGGCTCGTATCTACTTCCTCATAGTCCATGCTGGATGAATGTGTCACAATAGGACATACATGGAAATAAAATAATAATGGATAATAAAACGGCAGCACGGGATCAGCCTGAACTTTAGCTCATGACTTGCATACAGTAAATAGATGCCAATGATTTATATAGCATACCATTATATGATTGTGTTTATAAGTAGACTACCTTTTCTTCCTGTCAGACAGACACAAACCCAGGAGACATTTGTGGGAATTTCCACTTTGTTTTCAGTGATGATTGATAAGCTGATAAGATTGTTGGCCCGAGTGATGAGGTGTTGAGTCAGATGCAGTAGTTATGAAACAGCAGAGGAGCTTGAGCATGGGGCGCCATCTCGATGAAGCCGTCACTCAATCAGCAGGCAGAACATAATAATTTAGCCGTTAAAATAACATCCCACCTCATCCAATTTCTCCGCGTAGAAAGAGATGCACAAATCAATAAGCCAGAAGGAGAACAGAATTTGACATGTACTTTTAATTCTGTCATGTCCTCATTTTGTTTGTGGTGGGCGATGGGGAAATTATGGTGTTGGTTCATTCTGGCGAGTTTACTCAACTCATCTACTGCAGTGTCGAAAATAGATGGCTTTTCACAGGGAATTTGTGTGTTTGTGCACAAGCCCTCCGGCTGATGTGCTTATAGACTTGCCTAAAACAGGTCTTTTGTTTTTATGTTAAATGTGCTGGAAAAGGGAACATAATTTAGATATGTCCAAAAAAAGGTATCCAATAGATCTTTCTCTCTTTCAGGGAGTCCCCTTGCTCGGCCAATGGTGCAGAAGCGATGGTTTGTGGCAGTGAGGTTAGTGTATGAATGTGTGTGTTGGTTTTTCTGTCAATCGCTCACTCACACACACTGTCTCAATTGTTAATCATCTTTAATTGCCCCTGCAGGGTGCACAATCTGACACATTAGCCCACTCAGGTGGCATAACTACTCCATGATGTTAATTATAGAAGCTGATAAATACCTGTTTCGTGTACTTTTCATTTGTGAAACCATCCTTTGTTTGTATTTTCTTCATCTTTCTCTTGTTTCTTTTCTGTTGTAGATTCATGCTGATTTGGATGTGCATTGTCTACCAGCATCAGGTGTGTATGATGGTAAATTGCGTATTCAACCTATCACCCAGCAAACAAATTTAGGTTCTGGGAATGTTAGTTTTGGGTTCCCATAACTTTCCCTTAACGATAAGGGAACGTTCCTGGAACATTCTCCTTGCGTTATAAAAATGGAACCTAAAAATAACCTACATGGAACGTTCCTATAACGTTCTTGTTTGGTTCCCAAAAAAATAACCTCATGGGAACATTTGGGAACGTTAAGGGGGCGTTTGCTGGGCAGTGTCTTTCCAAATATTTATTTTTCTTTATTCATTTTCAATGGTCATTTAAAAGTCTACAGATTTAATTAATGACCAAACTAAGCAATGTGAGCAGAACTGTACCATTATATTCCCATCTTTTCTCTTTTATTAGTCATCAAAGTACTATTCTTTTTGGAAAAAAAAAAGAATCTAAACACATTATAAATGTTAGCTATATATTGCTAAAATATATTATAAAGACTGAACTGTGAAGAACTGAATTGTGGAATTAAACAGTTTTTCACCATGCCTGTGTTTTGGGCGGGGCTAATACAGGGGCTCGATGACTCACTGGACTCCCTGAGCTCCTGGCCCCGCCCCTACTTGATGACGCACTGGAGCCCCTGAGGCTGGCCTCTCACCTAACAATAGAGCACATTCACATCAGTTTGCTGCTCAATCAGGAGTTTCTATCAGTATTATTAGTACAGCCTACCGCTTGTTAGCTAGCTATGCCTTCATTATGGAAATGCATACTACTTGGATCCGATCACGTACAAAACAGTTCGGTGTCCTTATTTAATTTTCCCGAAAAATTATCACATCAAAAAGAGGTGGATTAATTTTGTTGAGAGCAGAAGATCAAACATATCACCAAAACCCACCTCTGTAGCGATCATTTTACACAGGATTGATAAACTTTCGTCTGAGATAACTGCGCTGATAATCCGCTGTTACTGTAAATGGGGCCGAACCGACAATCTCCCGCCTCGCCCTTTATCTTTCCATCCCGAAAGCAGTATCACCTAATATCACCGTCGGCAGCTTTCCCGCGAGTGGGTGTGTTTTCAGCGCAGCCAGCAGACACGCCCCCAGCGTTTGAGAGTAGAGATAACTGCTCATTTTTTCAAGATTTTGATAGCTTATTTTATTGTCGAAATGGGCTTTCAATGGCCGATACTAATATCAGTATCCAGAACGGTGGGTGGCCAATGGCGTCGCAAAGGCCTCGTTTACACTGCATGGTTCAAGTGACCCAAATCCGATTTTTTTCCTCTCATGTGACACAGATCGGATATGACCGGTGAACGTGTAAGCAGGAAAAAAAACGCATGGATTCCGATTTTCTCAGATCGGATTCAGGCCTCTTTCATATGTGATAATAAATCAGATATGAATCGGATATGTGCATTTGCGCGTGCAATGTAAGCAGACAAATCGGATTTTCCCCTGTAAATGCGAGTTGTACGTCATTAAAAAGTGCGTGATTATAGGCGCGATGGAAGAAAGGATACACACAGTGCAGCAATGCGGAGATTTCATGTCTTTTGAGTGTTTGGGGTGAAGAGTGCAGGCAAAAAATGCAGGGATGTTACAGAAATAAATCCGTATTTGAAGACGTTTCACGAGATATGACGCACCGTTTTAAGTGCTCGTGGCTACAGTGCCTCTCCTCTTTTTTTCTCCGCCGTACGAGACCAATGTTTTGATGACTTTTCAAAATATTGTGGAAAGAAAAACACTGGAAAATGGTATTCGCATCTGCATCCATTGAATTTCGTGCTGTTTTACTTAATTTTCCGGGTCAGAACGTCTACATTTGGTAGGTTCAGCAGTGTTTAGTGTAAATGCAAAAATCGGATATGGGTCACTTTTAGAAGATGATGTAAGCAGGTCGTCAAAAAAAAAACGGATATAGTCAGAAAATCGGATTTGGGCATCAAGCGGACTGTGTACAGAGGGCCAAGAGGCATTGGAGTGCACCCATGAGGGGGGCCAATGCAATAAACTACAGGGGGCACAGAAAACCTTGCAATGCAACAGAAATTGTTTACAGGAATCTGTAACTGACAAGTGATGAATTGTTACTGGACAATGCTGATAATTCTAACATGATCAAATCTTGGCCAATATTGGTCTATAATGAGTTACAAATAATACGTGTTAATGAACTAAAATTTGATTTTAAATCTAATAGACTCTCTAACACCTTGTTTAGATTTCCCTCAAAGTCCTGTCCCAAATTCAGCAGCTGGACCGAACACTGGCATCATTTCTAGAATTGCGAGGTGAGAAATCTATTCAATTCACATTTATTTGTATAGCACTTTTCACAATGTATATTGTAAAGCAGCTTTCCAGAACAACTATGTATCTACTGTACATGTCAATTTAGAGACAAATTAGCAACAAAAATCGCTGCAAAAGATGCCTTCCAACAGGTTTTATTGACTTGACTTGGTACAAAAACTATGATAAAACCTGTCGGAAAGCATCTTTTGCAGCGATTTTTGTGTGAGCAGAATATCAGTGAACACCCCAGACCACTCGGTGAGTTAAGTTTTATGTCATTGTAAACTAGTTTCATGCGTTTTAGGAAAGATTTGTTCCAGTGCACCTATGCAACCATTATGGAGGTGGGGGGGGGGGGGGGGGGGGGGGTGCAACGACAGAAACCGAAAATTCTCGGAACAGCAGCATATGTCCAATTTTTAATCTTAACCGTTCTATTTGATCAGAAACTATCTTAAAACAGGTCTTTAAGTGTAAAATACCGAACTTGTCCTTTAATCTAAACTCGGTCAATGAAACCAGGCCTAAATTACATATTAATTTAAATCTGCAGTGTCAATGTTGCACTACACCGAATGGAATTGCAAGAATTATGACTGTTTTAAATCTGTATGAAGTAATGAGATTGTTTTCTTAATGTTTTTCCTGCTCTTTTCACAGCTCTCTGTTTCCCTTCTCTCTATTTTTCCATAAGAGTCCTGCAAATTAAAAAGTTCGAACCATCATTCCTCAACACTTCAGGAGCTCCAACCTGTTTGTTTTTTTAAGTTTTAAAAGTCTGTTTTAAGTTTTTTTATAAGTTTTGATTGGTCTGTTATTTAATCCAATTTGTGCTCTTTTGTGCATTCTGTTTGTGAATTTCTTTTAAACGCATCAATAATGGTGCTAAATGTGTTCATTTACACAGTATGAGTGTCTCAAATACAAAAAAAAATGTTCAAACTGTTGCTTTGGGTAAAAATACCTTTTGTTGCATGTCACTCTCACTAAGCCTGAAATTACATCGCTTGTTCTATTATGCATTCACCTGAATGGAGTTGTTAGAACATCACGTTTTGTTCACTTTTTAGTGTTGTTTTGTGTGTGTGCGTATTGGTGCATCATCCGCTAAATTGTGTGTGTGTGTGTGTGTGTGTGTGTGTGTGTGTGTGTGTGTGTGTGTGTGTGTGTGTGTGTGTGTGTGTGTGTGTGTGTGTGTGTGCAGACCACTCTCAATAAGGTGAGGTCATTGGCCAAGGCTATACATGCCCAATCCTCTTGTCTCAAAATCCACACCTGTTTCTGACTGCCTTTGCAAATTATTACAGGATCAAATAAGAATTAGTTGAAGCTGTCAAAGACTTCTAAGTTTGGGCTCATGACTCAAGAAAAGCAGAGCCAAGATTTATCTCTCTCTTTTTTTATTCTCAGAGTTTACATATCGCTGTAACCTGGAAACCAGGAGAGTCATGAAAAATGATATTATTAATACATCCGCTTGCACTTTATGAGGGTATAGCAGCTGCCAAAACAACAGGAGAGGGCATGGCCTCACGTTTTCACTTGATGAGCTAATTATATTCACATCTCGACCTTTAAACCTCCATGTCAATCAAGCTCTAAATGTTTTCTAAGAAGCTGGCCCTGTATACATCTTAATATCTCTTTATAATTACACTCCATCCTGTGACAAAAACCCAGGAGGCCTTGAAGTATGAATCATGCTGATCATGTATAATGTGGGGAGGTGGGTTGAGAGGATGAGGAGTTATGTCATCCATTCCATTTGCAATGACATAATAAATTGTGCGTGTTGGAAAGTGAATGGATTAATAGTTTGCTAGTGTAGTCAGCACCCAGGAATGCATTGTTAAGAAGTTTTAATTTAGCTTTTGCACTAAAATTGCATCACCATTGATTTATTCATTTAGCAGACACTTTTATCCAATGGTCAATTACCACATCATTTTTCTGATTAAATTCAGGAAGGTCAGATTATTTTTTCTTTTCTTTATTTTTCTTTTATAAAAGTAAAGAACATTTTCTTTTTTCTTTACTTATCTATTCGTTACAAAATCCTGAAAAAAACAAGGTTTCCACAAAAAGTTAAGCAGCGAATCTGTTTTGAACATTGATTATGATCAGAGATATTTCTTGAGAACCAAATTTCTGAAGGTTCACGTGACACTTAAGACTGGAGTAATGGATGCTGAACATTCAGATTTACCATAACAGGATTTAAAAAAAGAAAAGAAACTATTTTATATTGTATTAATGTTTCAATTTTACTCCACAGAAACCGCAAATTCTCGGGACAGCAGCATGTGTCCAAATTTCAATCTTAACCATTTGATCAAAAACGATCTTAAAACAGGTCTTTAAGTGTAAAATAAAGTAAAATAAAAAAATTACTTTAAGTGTAAAACTTGTCCCTTTTTTTATCACAGAGGAACGTGTTCTGTTTGTTTTGTTTTTAAAATCAGCACAAAATAATTTAATAAAACAGTCCAATGAACAAGAAGGTAAAAATTAAATGACTTGGATTTTAGGCGCAATATTATCTGATATGTCTGCTTTGGCTCAACAAAAACGTTCCAAACAAAGGCATAACATAATCTGAATAAATAATTTAACATTATAATGATGACGTTACAGAAGTACAGAAAATATATATGGTGCGTTCACGTGCTATGGAAAAAAGGAATGGTATTTACCAGTGTGTTGCGTTCAAGTGCTTTTGTTGTCGTAATGTGGTAAAAAGATGGAGATCCAGACCTGTTATTTAGCTAAAACTATTTTAGATTGCTTAAGTCATCTGCAACAACAAGAAAATTATTTATCAAAACTCAAAAGGTAAATAATATGCTGTATATTTTCTAGATCATATATATTTTTACCATTCACGACTCTCCGCCATTTTGAAAAGGTCAAAGTTCATCTCACCTCGGCAATTCGTCTATCAAAATATTCTACGAGTTGCCCAGTGGAAAATACCACATGAGGGGGTGTTCATGTGCATTTTCCACGTCGGCTTTTGGTATTTAGTACCATAATTACCATTATAGCACATGAGCGCACCATTAGTCTGTAAAGATGTTTACATGTTTAGAAGTTTATATGACTCAAAATTAGATGTTTACATGACTCAAAATTCGCTTTAATACAGATGCCATGTCTGCAATTGATGGACATGCATCATTTTCAATTTAATATGGTATGGTTATTTTATATGGTTCCTTTATTTTCTGAATTTTTTGAAAATGTCACACAACATTACACATTTACAGCATATTGTTTAAATTATTTACCATGCAGTGTGCATGTTCACCTGAACTATTAGATTTACAGACCTAAAGCACCTTTTTTTTAGATGTTCGTAAATCGTAAGGGCATATGTAACAATTCAGTGATCTAAAACTATCCCATACACCTAAAAACAAGATTAAATGAAAATGTATCAAGTTATTTATTGTAGTAAATTATGACTAACTTCTTGTACAATTTAGAACAGGTAATCTGTTATGGGAATAGATTTTTCACTAAATATTTATATTACTACTGTGGCATGTTGTAGCTGCTTCTAAATGTGTAGGTTGTTATTTTTCATAAATGCTATAGATTTAAAAAAAAAAAAAAAAAAAAAAAAAAAAAAGGTTAACATTGGCCTAAGCATGTAATGAGGAGCCATCACTGGTCTTTACCTGTAATTATATCCTTATTGTAACAAATGCTAGATTTAAACAATTACAAAAACTGTACATTTTAATAGGGCTAAGTTAGAATCAATAAATTTGAAGTATGGACCTTTTTGAATTATTAAATAAATAATTGGTTTGGTTTTCCGTGTCTGACTTTTGGATATTCCAAAAGATGACAGGAAATTAACATCTTCAGTAAAAGAAAAAGTTAGTTGGACCTATTCTGTCAAACTGATAAGATTTGCAAAACTGATAAGACAATTTGCAAAAATTAATAAATAAACAAACAAATGATTCTCACAAGGGACCGTGCCCTTCAACCAGACCAAAACTACACTCTTGGAGAGAGACCAGAGCAAGAGAGGTGAGAGGACATGCAAAGGTTTATAAAGTTAAGCAACATACAAAAAAAGGGATGGGAAAGGAAAATACAGCAAGCGCACTAAAACAGTGGAATAATGGCGATGGGGAGGGTCCCGTTATTCACATCCAGATGCATGAGGACACATTGGTAAGTGGGTGTGACTATGCTGGAAGCTGAGGGCTCAGTTTTACCTGCACTACATATATGTGCTCTGCGAGAAAGAACTTCATCCAGTGATCATACACACATTTGCACACCTGTCCGAGCCCGAGGTCAACATCTTATCTGCACACTTTGGCTTTGAACAAGGATCCACATCTACAGGTAAACTTTGCTTGTTTCCCTTTCAGATTCTAATATCTGATTATTATAAATGTAATGTGGATGTATTGGTGTGAGATTAAGAGTGTAATGCTGATTACTCTATTATCCAATATTAATGCTGCAGACAAAAAGTTAATTCCATGACTTTCCCCTCAGGGAAGTGATTCTTAAAATATATTTATCCATCCACCCGTCCATTAGACGGCAGCGAAGACACAATTATCTTCACAATTATCGCTCTAAACAGTTTCTAATTCAATCTGGGTGTACTTTTATGCAGCCAAAATTTTGTTTGTATGTGTGTGTGTTACTCATGTAACAATGTAGTCATTTATGTGGTGAAAAAGTCCATATATATATATGTGTGTGTGTGTGTGTGTGTAAATATATATTTAAATTCATAGTCTATATACTGTTTTATATATATAACAATAGTAAAAGCAAGAAAGAAAAAAAAAGTGAATTAGAATTTTCACTAAAAAAACAACAACATTCACATTCTCCTATAAGTGTACATGTATATTCTGATACTGGACAAAAAACACATTGATAATTGTTCTGAATTGTTTCATACATTACACATACAGGATGAATGCATGGACCAGACTGATAATAAAGCTGAGTTACTCAATGAGTACCAAATACAAACCCAAGCAAAAACATTTACGGCATGGAAACATTCGTTCACATTGCGAGGAAGGAGTGGCACATTAATTTTTAGATTATTTTGACAACTCCAAATAATGAACTCCCAAGACAATAGTCAGGAAAGTCTGGTCAGTCTTCTCAATTAGGGAAATTGTTCTTGTAAACGGTTGAATGACTTAAATGTTTATGTAAAATTATGAAATCATTTATGCACTAAAAGATTAAAAGATGTGTCATATGGTTGACCTCAGATTTATTAAATTGATTTATATATGCATTTAGTAGCAGTCATTTCAATTTGACAATGACTCTGACCTATGTTGTAAGTGACCTGACTGAATTTCCTAAAATTTCTTCAACTCTGACAGGTTGACATCACCATGTCCCGCCGCGTAACATCTAACCAGGTAGTGCTTATGTTGCCTGTGGTTCTGTTAGTGTTGCTGATGCCCCTCAGCAGAAGTTTTCAAGCCCTGACTCCTGGCTGCCATCTTTACCGTGAGTGGAAAAGACATAATTTTTAACAAGCAAGCACTCAACTCACTCCTAAACAAAAAAAAGTCCTGATTTGGCCCTCTGTCTACAGCATTTAACGTGACCATACGTACAGACAAGCGAGGGACATGTCGAGGAACTCAAGTGGTGTACGCTTGTGTGGGCTACTGCGAGTCCAGCGCGTTCCCGTCACGCTACTCTGTGCTGCTGGCGTCCAATTTCACCCACAACATAACGTCGGCTTCCCGCTGCTGCACCATTAGCAAGGATGCCAAGGTAGGCTACAGCACTGGTCCAACCATTAGTATATATTACTAATGCCAATTTTACATCAGAAGAACCAATTATGAATTATTATGACTAAAGACTTTAATGAATTTGGTCCTCTGTGGGTTTTAGAACATAATTTCCACCAGCCCAGTCATACAATAATAATCTATTTTATTCCATTAGGTAAATTATGTCAAAATATAGGCTACTGACTTGCTAATTTTTACTAAGAAACATACATTCATATAGATTTCTGAATTAGAATATTGTTTCTTTTATTCTGTCTTTTTTCAGGTCAAAGTTCGCCTGCACTGTCCTCGAGGCCGTCACCACGATGACATCGAGATCTTGACTGCACGTGCCTGTCGGTGCAACATGTGTCACAAATCCCGTTACTGAGAGCCCACGTGAAGAGTCACTCATGCTGTACTGCTGTGCAATTATTCAATTTTTTTTTTCAAATACATTTTTGATTTTACCATTTTCATTGCACTTGTAAATTTACATAGAAATACACTACCACTGAAAAGTTTGGGGTCAGTAAGATTTAAAAAAAAAAAAAAAATCATACTTTTATTCAGCTAGAATGCATTTAATCGATCAAGTAACATTAAGATATTTATAAAAATTACACAAGATTCATTTTTCAAATTAATCCTATTCTTTCTAACTTTCTGTTCAAAGAGTCCTGGAAAAAATATATCATGGTTTCCACAAGAATAGTAAGCAGCACAACGGTTTTCAACATTGATAATAGAAGAACTGTTTCTTGAGCAGCAAATCAGCCTATTAGAATGATTTCTGAAGGATCATGTGACACTAAAAACTAAAGTAATGGCTGTTGAAAATTCACAGGAGTAAATTCAATTGTTTTATTGTAAATTGTACTAATATTTCACAACATTACTTTTTTATGATTTTTAAGAGATTTTAATATCTTACCAACCCCAAACTTTTTAACAGTATATAATTTTTTTTTAATATCATCTTTTCTTTTTATCTTTTATCTAAAGTTTTGAGATGACACAGCATGAGTGAAAGGTTCTTGAATGTTGCGTAAAGACAGAAATTTAAATTCTACATTCATCAATTCAATATAAAACAATGGTAAACAGCATCAGATACTCTCTAATAATTCAAATAAAAAAATAATTTGTCTAATGTCGGTGCCACCTAATGACATAAAGAATGTATCTTACCAATTATATATATTTATAAGGTGATGTTTGCACAAAATGTGTCTAATCTTTTGCAATAAAGGACTACATGACATTTACTGTGTTTTATTGTTAAATCAATGTGACTTCAAATGGATACCAATAACAACCATGATCATTTTTTTTTTTTTTTGCATAATAAGCAAAGATGGTTTGTGTGTGTGCCTTTAAAAAGTCTCACACTCTGTGTGGTTTGAGGAGCAGTAGGTGCAGTCACACTGTAAGGCCTGAGGGTAATGATAGACGGGGGAGATGCCAGGGCCACAGCCAGGTAAACGTGCAGTCAGGTGGCGTGTACGGCTGTAGGTGCAGACACTGTGGTGCCTCTGGATATACGGCGGCTCCAGGACTGGCCTCTGAGATGCCAAAACACACAAGAACACATGTCACTACACACACATATACCCCACATGCTCTCGTATACTGGTTTCTTTTTAATAGTTCTAGTATATTATAACAGGTTTCGATCACCTCCCAGGTGTGGCAGCGGCCCCAGCATGCTTCAGTGCTTATGCGCAGGCTCCTGCATCCGGGCTTCTTGGCCGCAAAAGTAAATTCACGTACGGCGCAACCACGAAAACTCTGTAAGGTTGTCACAGCCATGGTGGAGTAAAAGCCAGGAAACAGGAGCAGAAAGGTCACAGCTGTCACCGAGAAGCGGTCGACGCACATTCTGAAAGACATTATGATGACTTATCATAAAAGATAAATGATGTTTTATAAACAAAGTTCGGGAGGAGCACATTCAAACAATCATTGCAATCAACTTGTCATCAAACAATTATTATGTCTACCCCATCAGCATGAGAGGAAGCATATAGATATTCACTCTGTCAACTCACCTAACACACACCCAACAGTTTCAGCATCCCTCCACCACCCCGACTCCTCAGTCTGGCTTATACTTTTACAGCTAGGAAAAGTACTCAGGGTTCGGGACGAAAAACTAACTCAGAGACCTCTCCTCGGACAGCACGCCAAATACACATTTATTCTATCTGACTTATTTGTAAGTGCGAGAGTAACTCGAGAACATATTAAAGCATTGCTAAAACGTTTTTCTATATGTTTAGGGATAATCTAGGACATTATTAGCAAGGATTCGCAATGATTCACAGGCGTTTTCTGGAGACTATTTTTCCTCACCTGTTCCATTTAACTTAAAAAAATTAAAAATAAAATAACCTATTGAATCAATGAGAACAAATACGCCAAAGGACACATTGTCTATTCAGTCATTTTTAAGCCTACCTTATAAGCTTTATTCAAAGTATGATTATGATGAAACGTGCTAGGTTACACATTTCACAAAAAAAAATATATAATATTGATATGTGGTAATGTTCCAATATAGGCTACGCATAATTATAAAGTCATTGTCGTAACTGACCTATGCTAGGTGTTCTTGGAGTGGGTCCAGTGACTGCAAGTATACATTTGACCAGCAGACATCGCCAGCGTGCGGTATTATGAGGGTTTTGACTGGTAAGACATTAGGCTAAAAGTAAAAATCTTAGAAATGCCTATTTCGAAATAATATGCTGCAAGATTTCAAACACAAAAATAGCCTACATTTCAAAATGCTTTAACAAACATAACTCATAATTCCACCCTAAATGAATTGTGCAATAATGACCACTATTTAGCAAAACAGATTTTTTGTTATAGGCATATTGACAGTAAATGACTTCACAGTAAATGACCCCATAGACTTCAACGGAGAAAAGTAAAGTAAAGAAGCACTCACTTCAAGCACACTGCGCAGGCTCACAAACTTGACGTCGTAGATGTGACGTCACGTGGCAACAGGTGAAGGCTTGTTAGCCAATGGCGGTCCCCGGGGGAGACTTCAGTTTCCTCCTTGGTTAGAGGCCGAAATGTTGTTGTGCAGTTTGTCAGACCCAATAAAAAGCAAACTATAATGTAAATTAATAAAAATTTATGCAACTAATGTACTGATTTATTTATGAGACTGTCAGGCAGTTTTTAGGGAAATAATCCAGGCTTTTATTTATTTATTCAATTAATCTAACAGTATTTGGAAACGCCTGTTTTATAATGTAAGAGAAAGTCTTAGTTATTCATGATAACCCTTATTAAAGTTATTTATTTAAACATGCGTATCGTTGTTCTTTCTAAAGGGCATCATCTATCAGAGGGGAAAACCAGAAACCTTCTGTGAGAATATTGAGCCTGCCCAATGTAAAAACGTTAACATGAAATCAAGACACTTGCTCTTCCATTTATACTTTGACAAGACACTTGATAACGCGTTGGGAATAAATAGGCCTACGTTAATAACACTGACGCGAGAAATGAATTACACAAATTAGCAATAAAATAAGACACTCACCTGATTGAGTCCACAAAAGCAGATGCCAGAAGCTTTTTGGGAATTCGCTTCATCGACTGCCTTGCTGTTTTAAAGCTCGTTTATAGGACAGTCTGACATCACTCTAATTACAATTCCCATTAATCTAGCCTGGAACATTACAACACACTACATGTAAACTTAACCAAACAAGTTTTAAACATCTGCTCGTGTTTTTAGGAACGAGCTGAATGACATCAGCTTCACGCTGTGAACTAATGTTATCGACTGGACTAAAACTAAAGGAAAGGGCCAGCATTGAATCAACACGTTTCAGAAGAAAAGGTACAAGTACTGTAAGCAACAGAACCTAGATGTATCAAAGGTTTTGATTGAAAATAATGACAAGTGTTCTTGATGCTGAGAATCATGTTTACATCCCACTTTTATACATTCATAGGCCTATCCCAAAGACACTTGTCCCCCAAAAATACATTGCTATGTTTAAACACAAGACATTGATCAAAAGGACAGTGCAACTCTAGTTTAAGTGATGCTACGTATGCATACAATTTCAGTCCATATTTATTGCCGTGTCTATTCTATTTCATTTTCCTTTTCCATTTTGTTCCTATGAAATGTGATGTTTCTGCAGATACCAGCTTCCTCAGAGGTCAAACAAAGTGTGTTAATCCAGATGCTTTCTTTTGAACAAGAACATTTTGTTTGCTTTTCTCATCCTCTCTCAATAAAACAGATTACTGCAAATGAATAATCAACAATGGCAGTTCATTTGAGTGTTGATGCACACTCAAAGTGAATGGTACATTCTGATCTAATCCCTGTTTTCTTCTAAACTGTAATAAACTTCTCTACAACATCCACGCAGCAGTCTCTTCCTAAGCTTTCTCAATATGCCTACACACACAGTTCCTTCCCATTAACAATACTCTACATCAATAAATATAAGCGACATAAAACAAATATACCAAAAATTAAGACATAAATAAGACTCTGTCCTCTCTTGAAATTGCACTGAAACACAAAAAGAGAATGTTTGCAAGCAATTTGATTAAATGAAATAAATAATAATAAAATAAATCAAAAATAGCCAGACACACATTATTCAAAACAGATGAGAATATTGCTAAACTAAAATGTTTTGAATGTTATATATAAAAAACATAAGAACAGACTAAAGTGTTGTCACTTCAGAACAAGTTTAGTTTTACCTAGCAGCATACTTCAGTCATGTTTATGAGGTGCTACACTAGAATACCCCCACCAACACTATAGTCAGACATAGATATCATATTTATATATATATAGATATATATATAGATATGTATGTATATAAAAACATCAGTTATATTAGCATAGAAGTAGTACTTATAGAATAAGCTGTAGAAGTAGGAACATTATAATCTGTACTTTTAAAGAATTTTCATCTTTAGGATCATCATTATTCATTCCTCTTCAGAGTTTGACAGTATGCAGAGTCTGTTGGTTGATTGACGGGGGGCTCGTATCGGGCCCGAGAAACAGAGCGTTCTGGAATGACAGTAATGAACAATGTACGTGTTTGATTTCGGGTGTGCGCATGTGTGTCACCTCATGCAGTCATGTTAAAGTTGATGATCCCGGTGTGTGTAGGAATAGAAAGAAAAGATGCAGAGAGGCAGGTGTGTGAAGCACATGAAAGAGTAGGACGCATGTGAGAGGTACTCATTTTTTTCTCTTTTACTGTATATCTCACTCGTTGTGTGTGATATGTGCTTCAGTGTTTTTTCAGATATCTACATATGGACAGCCTGTCGTACATGTGCTTGTGACGGTCGTGTCTGCATGGTGTGTGCATGTGTTCGTGTGTGTGTTGTCAGACAGCGATTGAGGCATTGATCGGTTCCCAAGTCAGGTAATTATTGTGTTTTACAGTGCTGTGATACTGTATGCGTGTCTGTGTGTGTGTCTGTATGTTCGCGTGTGGTTTCTAGGTGGTGTTGGCAGCACTGGTCTCTGACTGGCTCTTGGTAGTGTTCTCTCTCTCCTGCAGGTTCTTCTGGTTTCTGCTGGCCTCAGTCAGACTCTGCAGTCGCCTCTCATGCACATCTTCCAAATTCCTCCACAGCTCGGTTCGCTCCCTCTCTTTCTTCAGCTCCCTAAGGAAAGGAGAGGAAAGAGGGATATGGATGAGTGTAAAAAGGGTTTAGATAAAGATAAGGCGAAGATAAAAAGAATTGAAAAACTTTCTGTGCTCAGAGAAATACATGTGAAGTCATCATGAAATCAAAACTCATTTACCTTTTTTAATACACAATCCTGGTCTCATTGGTGCATGTTTTATTCCAGAGAATCAAATCATAGAAAAAATATAAAATTAAATTAAATACAATTGCCCCCATGGAATTGGTTTTCAGTGGTTATGAGGGCATATTGTTTTTCTAATAAATATACAGACAATGTTATTTTAATTTTAGTTAACTTGATTTGCTATAACAGTATTAATATTTAACATTTGCAAGCTTTTATTGTTATATTTTCATTTTTTTTTTCAAATGGTCATGAATTGAGAAATACAATCATCAGTCATTGTGACTGTAAAATGAACCTGTAAGAACTTCCAAAGCTTTTCTCCAAACTTTTATTTAATCCAAGCTCGGAAAACGACTCGTTTCGGATGTTGAAAAAATCTTGATAACATTACAGATCACAAGCAGTTTATGACCCCTTCAATGTTGTTGTGCTTGATTATTATGTGTATGTGATTTTATTTTTAGTTCTAGTCATTTTAGTACTTTAATCTTATTTAATTTTCGTTAATTTATTTTTTCATCTATTACTTTTATTTAATTTTATTCAGCTTTATTTTAATGGATACACATTATTTTAGTTTTAGTAAACAATGACACTGACAGACACAGCATGGCGTCCATTTATGTAAGTCAAAAGGTGTACGAGAAATAGGCTTTTACCTCTAAATTGAAATAAACATCAAACACAAAGGTAGTAGTAAATCAGATCAGAGATCAAACAGTACACAATAAATGCTCTTCTGAAACAGATTTTAAATAATTGCACATTACGTTGTATTATTCAGCCCTCTGTCTATGTGTACCCCCAAACTCTGGTTGATTTCTGAACCTGACTTACTTCAAAAGACTTTCCTCTCATGTGACGTCACCATTTTTGTTCTTTTTATCCTTTTTTACAATATTTGAATTTCAAAAATAATTTAATTTAACTCCTGCCCTCCAACCACATGGCTTCATTCTAGTATGCAATGGCCACTTGATGCAACCAATTCAGTTTGGTCCTACACTTGAAAGATCCCGTTTCATGACAAAATAATGTTTCTTGTTAACTTTAACACAGTCCTGTACTCACTTCTGTTTCTCCACTTTGTAGGAGGCAGTGAGATCATCAAAGAGCTTGCTGTTCATCTCCATGAACGTCTTCAGCACATTGTAGATAAGAGAGATGATCGTCCTAAATAAGACAACAGAGAAATGTCCAAAGCAAAAACAGTCTTGATTGATGTCAATAGCATTAACGTTATTTTAGACGTATGTTGGAATGATACTGACTGGTTCCAGTGCTCTTTGGAAACTCTGTACAGTGTGCCAAAGACCAGAGGCAGGATGACCTGGCAGTTCTCCTCTATTAGACTCAGAATGTACTCATTATTCCAGAAATACAGAGCCCGCTCTGCGACCTGAGGCAGAATAAAGAGAGAGAATGAGGGAAGAGAACACAAACAGATGCGTTCATCACCTCCGCGTGTTCACAAGTACTACAGGCAGACGCCTGACAAGCAGCGCTGGTGAATGACACAGTGTGGGAGGAATGCTCCGGTGTGAAACAGGAAGCTGACCTGGAAATGAGGGCTGGAGATGCAGGCAGAAATCTGTTTGAATAGAGGCTCCTGCACACGGATAAACTGAGATGGTTCAATCACGTCCAGAATCTCCTCGATCTCCCCCAGGAACATCACCTGGGTTCAACGTGACAGGGTTATATACTTTACAAACACAATAACAAACATTTCCCGGCAAACACACTCTTTGAGTGATAAGTCTATTTGAAATCAGAAAACTTGAGTGGATTTCAAAACTCTTTCCGCAAAAATGTGACTTAACAGGTGTCTAAATTCATCAGCAACGATTAATGGCATTGACAAATAATACATATACAGAATAATACATTTACAGAACAACAAATAATACATAATTTCACAGAATGTGAAAAATAAAATATAAAAATGGGGTGCATTCGCAATAACTAAAAATAGTTATTAAAAAGAAATAGTTTCGTGTTTCTGAGTGATTCATCATTATAATGATCAAATATTATTTTTTTATTTTACAGTACAATTGTATTTTGCATCGGTAATATGTTTATCTTTACTTTAGGGCTGTGCAAAAATTAATTGCGATTAATCGTATCCAAAATAAAAGTCTGTGTTTACATAATATATTTGTGTGCGCTGTATATAATTATTTTGTATAAATAAATACCTATGCATGCATGTATATATTTAAGAATTATTTGCGCTTAAATTCTGTATATATATATATATATATATATATATATATATATACAAAATGTATATTAGAAAATAATTATATACAGCACACACAAATATATTATGTATACACAGACTTTTATTTTGGATGCGATTAATAACAATTAATTTTTGCAAAGCCCTACTTGACTTTAAAACACTACTACTACTGCTATTATTATTAATATAGAGTTCTATGAACAAGTGAATGAGTAGTAAAATGATTTAAAAATATTAACTTAAAATCTCAGGTAAATATTTGATGTCTAAGGGGTTAATCTGAAAAAAAGATGTTTGGTCTGAGAGATTTAAGTGTATGTATGTATTGCTTTTCTTACCTCTTTCTGAGTGCATGTTTTTGGCCAGTATCTCAGCAGCCCCCTGATGATCTAATGAAGTACAGAAAAAGATTGGTGTAACAACGCAGTGGTGTGTATATGAAGTTGCATAACATAATTAAAAATTTGACATACGTGTTCTGTAACTGTGGCATCCTTCTCCATGAATTGCACCACACAGTAAGCCAGCTACATGAAAAGAGCACAAAAAAGACTTTTAATAAAGTCACTTCCAGGCTTTCTACACACTATAAGTGTCATTACTTCAAAGGCTTATTGATTTTACCAGCAGGTGCCTTTGATTAAAGGGTACGAAAGAGTGTGTGTGTGAGTGTGTGTGTAACACTGAGAAAAAAGATTACAACCCTTATCTGTCCTTCAAGGTTTGATCTGAAGCACTGAACTAACTTCACAAATAAACCATTCTTCTAATCAAGATCCTAAATGCCACCACATAGCTTTATCATCAATCTGCCCACACCGGGAGTTTCTGCAGCAATATGTAAGTGTCAATAATGTAGGCATAGCTGCTAGATGTCTGTCAACAAATGTGCTTTGATTGCTATCTAGATTTACAAAGAACAGTTCTATGTAAAACACAATGTGTAACATGTATAAAATGTAGCTACTGTGCACTATAGCAAAACTGCAGTATAAGCTGGCCAGATGTAGTGGATGGTAATTTATCAGACATTAAAGTAGCCTACGTTTTTTCCTAAACATTGTTCAATTTTATGAACTTTTAACAGGGACAGTCCCCTTATTTGCCTTGCTCAAGGGCACAGTGGTGATAGCAAATGTCCCGTTCCTTGTGAGCATCACACTAGACACCTTCTCTGTGGTGGAGCTTGCCTTTTTAGTACAGTATGTGGGTGTAAGTGAGAAATCCTGGGTTAGGTGCAAGCTTTAGAAATTGGATAAAGTCCATTACAACTACAAAAGTGAAAATCAATAAAAATTCACCAGAAAAAAAAATCATAAATATAATATCTTAAATATGAGGGAAAAACACAAAACAAAACTCGATGTCTATCTGATCAAATTATTAGTCAAAAAAGGTCATGCCTGCCAACCGGAGTGCCTATGATAGCCACCAGACGGCACTCCCCCTTTCTTCTTTATCCCATTATGAACTGCATTTCCCATACACGGTGCAAAAGTGTTCCCATACACTTTCTAATAGTCATGTAAATATGTACTGAATGAATGTATAAAGGGTTTAAAGTGAGTTAAAGGGGTGGTATTTAAGTCGACAAGTCGAACCACAAAAGACGTGCCAACTGTCTGAAGTTCAGCGAACTTCTGAACTGTATGAACGGCGTTCGTGGTTCGACTTGTCGAGACTGTTTTCCAAAGATGGCGCCGCCTGTATACACGAAGTGAACAGTCTTTATAAAGTATCTTCTTATTAAATGGTCTGTACACTTACAAAGTTCTTAATGCTTCGTTTTGTATTTAGGGTCCTCATTATGTTACTGTGTTAGTGTGGCTATTTTGAGCCTTGTTAGTGGTATTTTTACTTATTATATGCCCCCATTTACTAGCGTTATACGCTAAACAGTTTTTAGAGATAAAACTCTTTACATTCGATTATCATGAAAACAAATCTCAAAGAACGGTTGACTAATGTTTTATTAGCTAGACCAAAGGTTGATTTTGCGCCGGAGTTGTCCTTTAAAAAGCAATTTCTTTAAAAGGAAATATATCCCTTTGCTTTGAACGTAGAATGTCGTAACTTTGCAGATGTTGTTTATGCTCAAACAGCAACATTACACACTATCTAAAGTTAGAAAAGTGAATTCATGATCAACCACCCCTTTAATGTGGTAGCTTATACTCAACGGGTTTAAAGTGATTTCAGCATAACTACTTATTCCAGACTCATAGTTTCAAGAAAGCAACTAAGAGCTTCAGGAAAAACCAATGAAATTATACATAACTGAATGATGACATGCTTAGTCTGTACACACATGCTGCATTTATTTCCAGATTAATATATTCCCTGAAGAGGAAAGAGTCACAAAGCACCTGAGCCTCAGAGATTACAGGCAAAAGGGTAAGAAAAGGATGTTTTTCTAAAGAGAGATTACGTACGTTAGTGCGTGTGTGTGTATGTGTGTTAGTGTACACATGTGATATGGCCACGAGTGTGCTTTTTGTTGCCACGGAAGCCCTTCTGCACCATTCCCTGGGTGAGCTGTTAGGATGGTAATGGTGTGTGTGTGTGTGTGTGTCTACTTTAGAAGAGGTGATGTCACATAAAACCTCTGTCTTTCCTCAGGGGGTAAGAGCCCTGTTAACTACTGTTTTCTCTCTCTCTCTCTCTCTCTCTCTCTCATTCTTTTTTCAACAAGAACATCATAATTATCCTCTTAGTTTTCAGTCTATGCAGTGCTTTACAAAAAAGTTAATATGTTTAGCTTGCGAGGTTGTTTATGTGCATGTGTCAGAATGTTTATAGAAGATAATGGAAACCTTGCTCTCAGGATAATAAACCTATCTCATAAACCTATCTTAAAAATAACTTTATATGTCCCAATTATATAACTTCATATCTTCATATACAACTGCAATTTTGTAAATCCTAAACTTAATTTCTTCGTTTGTAACTTTATTTCTAAAAATTGCTAATCTTAAATCTGAAACTTTACATCTCACTTTTGTGCATTTATGTACTGCTTTCTTTTTCATAATTGTGACTTTATATATCACAGTTGTGAAAATGATGTAATTTTCACTTTTTTATTTGATCTCACAATTGTATTTTCTTTAATTCTGAAGTAGAAACATTAGTCTGTCTGTGTGTATGTGTGTGTATGCACATTTTCGTATTTTTTGTCTACCTGAGAACCAACGGTAAACTGTCAATTACTGGCAAGTAAGGTAAAACTAAAATTAACTCTCAACACATTACAAGGCTTTGGTATGTTTTAACTTGGCACGAGATAAAAATCCCATACCCAAGAGACACCTCAGTGAAAATATATCCCCTGGTGTCACTCAGTAGTTTGAGGCTCAATGGGGACTAAGCTCTAATCATCCAGGATAAATCCCCCAGACTTAACTCAACCACTCACCATTAGTTCCTATGCAAACAAATAAAATAGTAACCAAATCACAACAGCCACGGGTTACACGGAGGGCAAAAGAATCACTGAAATGCACACTTAATGCTGGTTACAAAACCGTTTATAAAAATAGAGTTCGGTATTTAGCCTTTCATCTCGCTAAGAGCTCTCTAGAAATGTGTGATGTTCTGAAGAAGCCTTGAGGGAAGTGTGATTAAGGATTTGGCTGCGCTGTCCTTCTGTTTCTATGGAAGCTACATAAAATAAGTCTGGCCACCCAAAGGCATTCCCTGGGAGAGCTCTATTTGTCCTTGTGGCGAGTAGGAAGTATAAACAGCCTGGCGTGTGGGCACTGAATTATGGATGGGATGATATTGACAAGGGAAAGGGCGAGTGTAGGAATGTAGGACAAGCACTTTCACAATACACACACACACCTATAGAGTAGACATATACAAACAGGCAGCATTAATATTATAAAAGCACTTTTCAGATATAACATGCTGTTAATAAGAGGAATAATATACTGAATCTATTGAAAGAATGCATGTGCATTGCATAACAGACATTTTTATATAGCATGTTAAAGTTTTCACATTTTGAGGGTGAGCAAAAATGCAGTTTTTGTGTCTGGCACTTTAAATGCAAATGAGAG